TTAAGCTCATGACTGAATTCAGTTATGCTATGCTACTTTGCTCCTTGCTGTAAGATGAGTCAGGCAAATGTGATTCCAGAAGTTGTCATTTCTGAATACTTAATGACCTTATAGTTTAATGAAGTGACCCATGGTTTTCATTCTTAGCTCAACTAGGAGGTATGACAAAGCTCTACTGGTAATAGCAGGAGGGGTAGGAGGTGGGGAGTGGCTCACTGCCGTGGTTTCCCTTACTTGAGACATTAGGAGGGGGAAGGCTGTCCCAATCTATGAGTTTTTAAAATCCTCACAGGTTTGGAAAGTTTGCAGCTGATCTGCCAACCTCCTGATTCCTAATTTAAACATCTCTTAATAGTTAGATGGATTGGGGAAATCTGTAGTAGAATCCTCTCTCTGCACTTTATAAGCTTGGTGACCTAGAGAGACAAAACTTTAAAACTATGTGTGCTTTCCACTTTTCATCTTAAATCATCTCAAAGCTGGGAGAAGTCATTCAGCAAACATTTATTGGGTACCTGCTATGTGCCTGACTATTCAACTTAAGGGCTGGGGCAGTAAACAATAGACCAGATCCCTGAGCTCCTGGAACATTCCACAGACACCAGGTGGTAACAGAAGCCACGAAGGTAGACAAACGGGTACGGTAGGGAGGCACAAGGCAGGCTTTATGGATGGAGACCTGCTAGTGGTAGAGTGAGCTGTGGGTGTAAGGTTGGGGAAGCAGATTTGAAAGAGACAGAATGGTGAGAGATTAGGTCATGATGTGAGAATAAGACTTCAGCCAGCTTGTGGGTATTGAGTGATGGAGGGGAAAGCCAGGGAAGATGAAGTAGGGAAGTTGCAGGCAGTGCTGTGACTTTGTTAGGAAATGAATCCTTCTGGCTGCTGTATTGAGAATATCCTATGCTGGGGCAGAGGGCCGGTTCAGATTCAGGACTATCAGTCAGGAGGCTGTTGGAGTGATCTGAGACCCACAGGATAATGGTTTGGACTAAGCTATAAGCAGGAGAGGCAGTGAGAAGTAGCTGGTTCAGGGCATGGTTTTAAGGTAGAGCTCAGTAAGATAATAGGATAATGTAATATTGCAAGCCAGACATGGGCAGGCACTCCTAAATGTTATTTCCCCTTTGTTTTTACTTCGTCTTGGAAATGGGCTGGGATAGGATGGGCAAACGTACAACCATGTCTGTAATGCTAATTATTTGTACATTCTCTAAACACGTACTACTTAGGTATCATGCTCTGTGTTTGTAAATAAGTAATTGGGCATTTAACTGAGTAGCTTATATGAACTAGTCACCATCTTGGCAGAGTTATTTATTATGGGATAATAAAAGAATAATTATAATGGCAAACACTTACTTCGCATTTGTTGTGTGCATTGGTGTTGTGAATGCCTTACAACAGCCCTATGAAGTAGGTGCTGTTATTGCTATTTACCTGATGAGGAAACTGAGACACGGAGAGGTGACAATATTTGTCTGAGGTCACAAAACTAATAAGTGGAGAAACTGGGGTTTGGTCCAGGCTGTCCAGCTTCAAAATCTGACTTTTGCATTGCACTATGCCACTTCTGTAGGTTACTACGGTGTGAATAGAATGTGATTAAGTGCTCCAAGAAGTCAGTGCTGTTGAAATGTAGAGAAGAGAATTTATTTCTTGTTCAGTGAAGTTGTGAAGAAAATAGTAATTGAGTCAGACTTCAAAAAGTGAGGATTTCGTCTGGGGGAAGGTAATGACTAAAGATGAGAGTAAATAATTATAATCATGGAAGTGAATGTTTACAAAGCATTGTTTTAAGTACTAAGCACTGTTTTAACACTTCTGATGGGTTATCTCTATCTTCAGCACTGAGGTACCTTTGAGCATTTCCAGTCTGTGGGTAAGGAAACAGGCATGCTGACATGTGCCTCTGTTTACACTGCTAGGAAGTAGAGGAAGTTGCATTTGAGTTTGACTCCAGATGTGTGGGCAATGTGTTGGGAAGAGCATTCCATCCTAGGAGAGGAGAGTGATGAGCTTAATGATGAGTGGGATGGTCTAAAGCATATTTGGGGATAGTGGGAATTCAAAACTGTAATTAAAATATTGTTGCACATCCCAGTCATCTTTGGGGTGTGTTACAAATAGTTTCCTGGGCCTGTTATCGGCAGTTGTTGCTGTACAGCAGATTCATGTATCAGTACCTGGAGAACCACTGACCTAGAGCACAGTTTGCCTGCCCATGTGCCCAAGTGGAGACCATTTATGGAGGGCTTTGATTTCATGGTAAGGAATTTGAACATGGTAGACTTAGAGAGTGAGGCATGTCCATCTCTTTGCATGTGATGATGTGCCTGTGGGCTTGAAGCCTCTACAGAAAGAACCAGATTTGTGAATACCCTTGGGTGGTCAGACAGTTAAAAAGTTGGTGATTAGAGGATGGAGCTGACATGAAAGTACAGAGAGGATTGTAGGGCCTGTGGGAGGGAACTTTTTATAAATTATGAAAAGAGTTGGGTTCATTAGCCACATTCAACATGTTGACAGCAGAGAGAAGTGGTTTTGGGTAGCACATTTGGCCATTTGGTATATCTTTCCTTGACTAGCCACCCAGGATACATGTGTATATAAAGGGAAGGAAAGGGCTTTGTGTGTTAAAACATATATGCACACACATCAAAAAAAACTAACAATGGGCCTCTCTACCACTTCTCCTATCCTTACCTACCTCTCTCCTATCCCTTAAACGTGTTCCCAGCACTTTGCAATGTACTAGGCCCTAATTATAAATGCATATGGGGAAGGGAGTGATTCATTCTGTTTTAAAGGATCGATAGGAAGCTTTCCCAGAGGAGGTAATAACTGCCTATTCAGAATTTCAAATACTGCACAAAGTTTTGCAAAATGTTTAGATTTGCAAGCAGATGTAGCATGTGCAGATTAAATAGTTTATTAAAGATAATTACTAAAAATAAGCAAAAGTGAGGAAGGATGTTGGTAGAATGTTTGGCACAGGTTGAACTTGACCCTGGAGTCAATACATAGGAATCCTACCTTGCAGGAAATATGTACATGGTATGATATCTGGCACATAATTGCTATTTACATCAGTAGTAGCTGTTATTATTATTACTGTTAGATCTAGACCAGGCTGTGGTATGGAACTATATGGAACTTAGAGTTTATCCTGTTGAGGGTGTGGAGTGACATGCTAAATTTGGATTTTCAGTAGTTCACTGACACATGGAGATTGGCCTGAGGGATTTGTTCAGAGACTGTTGAAGTAATACAGGCAAGAGATATAATGAGGGTCTAAACTGTGGCAAGGACAGTGAGGATGGAGGAATGTATTAGTCAGTTTGCGCTGTTGTGACAAAGTACTCCAGACTGCTTGGCTTAACAAAAAGACTATATTCTCACAGTTTCCAGGACCGGGAAGTCGCACTGTCAAGGGACAGCCAATTTGACGACACAAGAATTATTTCCATCTTGTGATATGCAAAACAATTAGATAATGTATTCATTTATAAAATGTATAGAATTAAGAGTGGTATATCTGAGAATTAGGTTTGTATTTGGTGTTGAGGTTTAACTCGCTGCTTTTTTTTTCCTGACGTTTGTCATTTTGAGTGGGACCCAGGGAAACTTTACTGACAGATGCCTTTCCTGCCTCTGATCTCGTTTGTACTTTTATTTCTGTGCCCGTCTAGTGCTACCTGAATGCGGTGTGTGCTTTTCCTTTTTTGGCATACCTGTTTGTCAGTATTTGCTGAAACTTTCTAATAGTTGAGACAATATTATGGGTTGTTGACATGTCAGACACACTGTATCTGAGTTTTGCCTTTCAGAGAGCTGTGTTAAGATGTGATTTCCAGCAACACAACACCAGGACTTGTTCAGATAAATTTACCTTGTTTGGGTGTGTGTCATTTTATTACTTCAGTATATGGGTATTATGCATATTCTGTGCTGTGTTCTTTTAATTGAAGCAGAAGGTAGAGAAATTTGCACATATCCATACATTTTCACAAACTGAACATAGCCATATCAGCAGCACCTAGATAAGTTGACTTCTTAAAAATTTTAGTGATGTTGTTTGGAAGAAAAAGGAAGCTATGTGAATCTGCTGGGCAAAAAGGAAAATGAGACCTTTAAACTTTTTCCTTTTACTTTCGTATTAGTTTATTTCCTGTTATTTAAGAATGTATTTAAGAATGAATGAGTTATTCATCTAGTCTTATCTTGTATATAAATGTTGTATATATAATGCTACTTTTTTGAAACAAAAATTACTGACCCAAGAAATATGTTCTAACTACTTTTTAAGAGTCTTTGAATAAAAGGTATTAAAGGGGAAAGTTGTTCATATCTAGTAATTATTAAGAAAAATTATCAACAATTTGGAAATAAAAAGTGTTCAGGATATTCTTTCAATGCCTTGTGGAGATATTTAATTCTAATTCTTATGCTCTATTTTCTATTTACTATTTGTTTAGAGCCCAGAACTGGAAAGTTATCTCTTAGCTCTTGGGTTTTGTCCAGTAGATGATAACCCCATAGGTAATGGTTCTGTTGCCCTGTAAGACATTAATCAGTTTAGGAAAAAAAGAAAATATAACCTACGCATCTTTTCTAACACTTAAAAAAAAGTCTTTTCTGATGAACTATATAAACCTGTTCCCAAATGCTCTTGGAACCAGCCTTACCATTTTATTGATTCCCTCTTTTATTGATGACTTAAATAAAATAATTGACACATGTTCATTTTATATTTGTGTGAAAGTCATTTTTTACCTTGGTGAAAATTATCCCTTGATACTACCATAACATTTCTGTTCCTGCACCTTCATCCTTTACCTAGGAATTGATTTCTTAGAGCGTACAAAGTAATGCCGAAGAGTCGAAACTCACAGTGAACAAAAGTCAAATTATCCTTATTACTGTCATATCACAGAAAGCTTATAAAACTAGGTTTTAATTACTAAAATGTTCTAAAAATTAATTTTCTTTTTTTCCAGGCTTAAGCACACAGACATTTATTGTGGAGAAAATAACATTTTGAGATATTTTTCTTTTTTCAAGTAATAAAGGAAAAATCAGTACAGACGTGCACTCTCCTGTTTGTGCTTCATTGTGCTGCTTTTTGTAACTCAGCTTAGTAATGAAGCCACCATTATGTCCTCAGTCAGTGAAGTAAATGTTGACATCAAGGATTTCCTAATGAGCATTAATTTGGAGCAGTATCTCTTACACTTCCGTGAGTTTGGTTTTAATACTGTGAAGGACTGTGCAGCAGTAAATGACAACGTGCTACACAAACTTGGAATATCACCTACAGGACACCGTAGGAGGATACTTAAGCAATTACAGATCATCTTGTCAAAAATGCAAGATATTCCAATATATGCAAATGTTCATAAAAAAAAGAAGAATGATGGGATTTCAAAGGATTGCCGCACTCCATCTTCTGATCAGAATACCTGCATAGTACTTTCAGATTCAGGTAGTTTTCAGACACCTAGCCCAATGCTATCTGAGACTGTTACAAAAAATCTTGATCAAAATGATGTCAGTGTGGAAAATAGCCAGTCTCCTAAATCAGATGACAAGCTGTCTCTTCCCAAGCACATTTTTCCCATTCCAGAAGGAGAACCACATCTGAATTTGGGTTCTTTTCAAGATTCCTTATTTGGTAGTGAAAATATTAAAATGGAATCTTTGATAACAAAGAAGACTATGGATTGCACAACTGAAGAAGAACAAACGCAGCAAGTTGATTTGATCTCAGGAAATGTGAGCAAGCTTCCCAGGGCAGACTCTGAATGCCTTCCTTCCCTTGGCTTTTCAGTATCAGAAGCAAATTCTGGAAATGGGGCTAATGGTTTATTAGAAAAATCAGTACCGTCCCCATTCTTCCAATTTCGAGGAGATATGGTTGTAAATGATTTGTATGTTCCATCATCACCAATCCTAGAACCTATGAGAACTCGGAGCAAGTTGGTTTCAAGACCATCTCGATCTTTTCTGCTAAGGCATCGACCTGTACCAGAGATCCCAGGGTCGGCGAGAGGAATTTCAGGGAGGTAAGATTTTTTATATAAGCTGTAAGTATTCAGTTTGAGGGAATTTAGTTATTGTTAACAATTGTATTTTTAGTGTTCCTTTCTAAATGTGACTTATATTAATTTACCTAAATCAACCAGCTTTTTCTTCCTTCTCTGTCAAAGCTTTTTTTATGCCACTTCTCTGTTCATTATTTCCCAGAGTCTGTTTCCAACTTATAAATGCCTGGCTTTCTCCTGTTTAACTGGGGAGGAGTCCCTTCCCTTAATTCTGCCTGGATATTCCTTCCTCTACCTCCCTCCATACCTGGTGTTATATTATTCCATGAGTTCTTGTATTTGAATTGCTGAGTTTGTCTCCCCACTGGATTGTTTTTTTGGCAGGGACCATGTTTCTAATGTTTGAATCTCTACTGTCTGGAACAATGCTTGGCATGAATTAATAATTCATCACATCTCATGAACACCAACTTGGTACGAGTCACTGTGAAAGGTGCAAAGGAGGTAGAAATGTAGAAGCTTGAAGTGTAGTGTAGAAGACAGATGTAAAAAGATGATAGCAATACAGTATGAACCCAGATTCCCTGGAGACTGGAATTCTGTAGAGGGGCCCTACCAGCATGTCCAGTCATTGGTACCCTGAGGTAACTATGGCCTGTAAGAGGAGCTGACATACAGCAGGGAGAGCTTTTATCCCATTCTTAAAGTTACATCTAAAGTAGTTGTGGTTTTCTCCAGGGTTGTGGTGGGATATTTTTTTTCCCTCAAAGCTAACACTTGTCTTTTCTGGGAATCAGGAGGCTGTTGAAATTTGACTGCTGCTGTGGCACTCAATGCAATTCCAGATTTGCACTCGTGTGTAGGCTCTAGACTGGCAGTCATGTAGGATCCTCCTATCCTCTGTATCCACTCTGTCTGCCTGCTGGTTCTCTTCTTCTTAGGCACCTTTGGTATTTACAGAGCAAAATTTTGGTTATATTTGCCAGAGAAAATATGGTGGTTTACAATACTATATTAATTTAAGTACCTCCCGTGAGAGCATAAACTCTTTGAAGGCAGAATCCCTAATGCCTTGCCAATAGCAATGTCCAGTTTTCTAGGGAATCAGTAGTTTTAATGTCATTTATTAAATACCTAGTTGCTAGTTTGCTTTATAATTTTCCATCAGTTATCTAATTCTCATGATGGCCCTGTTAATTAGATACTATTCATCCATTTTCTTAGGAGGTAATTGAGCCTTAGATTAATTTAACCCTTTTTCTTAACTGCTCATTAGTAACTATTAAAAATGTTGATTGTGTATATGCATACACACACATGTATATATAACAATTGCATATATATATGCATATATAAATAGTAATATTTTATAGGACTGAAGATCACCAACCTTTGTGTGACACTTCAGCTTAAAATAGTTTGCTAATTTTAAATGATTAAAAGAAAATACCCAAGGAGGGTCTGCTATGAGTGCACACATTAAAACCCTCTTTGCCGGAACAGAATCCTTTTGGGAGCCATAAGGATAACTTCAAATAAGAAACATTTGGCTTAAGTTTTAATGAGCCTTTAACATAAGGCTTAAGTCTTAAACAGCATGTACTATTTTTCATAAATTTTGAGACTTTGATGTTCATTTAGTTGAATATAAGCTTTGTATCATATGAAAGGCTTGTTATTCACATTGTGACTGGGAGTCCTTGAAAATGAGAATTGAAATAATGTTAAAATCAGCAGTAAATAATTGAGTACTAGCTGCATGATAGCATGCCCAGTTACCCATTGTAACCTTTCTTCTTTGATTATGGCTGTAAATGGTAAGTGCAACTGTAGGGTTCAAATCATAAAATAAGAAAGTAAAATAAATAATTTTCAAACTTCCCTGTTTATTTCTCTTTGTGGTTCTCAGCTGAATTGCAAATAGTAATTTAGGATTTTAAAGTGTTACAATATAACCTTAAAAATAAAATTGTGGATAATATAATTGGAGATTCTGGCTAATGAGGTAACAACTAAATGATATTTAGTGCATTCCTTGATGTACCAAATAAAAGTATTTCCTTGGGACCAGTGCTTTTAACATAATTTCTTTACTAGTTAAAACATTTCATGTTATCTGTTTAAAAAATGTGCTGGTGTGATTTCCTGCTCTGAAACCCTTTGTTTCTCTCCCACCAGACATGCACTGCCCTCACTCCACCAGTCCCCACTCCCTTTCTAACGTGTTTGACACAGTTGACTCTCCAGTCAAATAGATTGGCTTTGTCCTTGCTTTGAGTTTCTGTCCTGATTCCTGCCTGCTCTTTTTCTCAGGAAGGCTGTGTAGGGTGGGGCTATGCTGGACAAAGACCCTCAGGATCTCTTTTTTAACTACTCTTTCCTGAAGAGCCAGCTCCATCCTTTATCACCTTCACCTGGAGGTCTCCCATGGGGGCCTCAAAGCAGGAAGCCAGTCCCACTGCCATCTTGCCATGTGCCTGGAGTTATAGGTTCTCCTGTGATCCTTCTAGATGGGTCCCCTTAGTGCTCCAGGTAGGAAGGAACAGATAGCTTTCAGCTGCTGAAGAGGTCTACGTTTCTTATACTGCTCCCCAGTTTAATAATTTCCATACATCATTCATGCAACTATTTTATCTTGCGCACAAGTCACAAAGCCCTCTCTTGTAGGTGTTGTGGCTCTGAATGTTTTTGGGGAAGGGAAAATAAGGAAGCAGAGTCATGGGGAGGAGGACAGTGTGCACGGCTGTACTGTGATTGGAGTGCATCTGTCCTAGCTCATTAAGAGACTAAGGCACAGCATTAACTATTGAGGGCTTTTCAGAAGTTTGAAATCTAAACCTGAAGACTCTAGCCTTCTTTGAACATTTTATTAAAAATAAAAATCACAGATAATTTGTTCTAGATATACACAGGATAATAAACATTAGAAATGGATAATGAGCAAAAACTGTACAGAAACAGAAGAAGCAAGTGCTGGCTGTATTGAATAAGAAAAACACAGAAACTCATCCTTTCCTTTTCATGTTCAAGAAAAACTTCACATTTCATGCTCTATCAGAAAAATGCTGAGCAATCTAAAATTCAGCATTTTGCCTTTAGAATTCTTTTATATAAATTCTATGAAAAAATAGAATGATTATTTCAATATTTGTAAAATTTAGACTGAACTCCTAAATAATAAAAATTTAAATAGTCAACAGTTTGATTTCTTCTTAGAGGATGAAGTTATCTCACTGCTCAATACCTTTTACAGGTAAAAAGACACTACAAGATACTTTTTTATTTTTCATAATTAAAAAGCACCACTTTGAGAAAATATATTTTGAGCTACAGATTTTTCTGGTTGATGAAAATAATTTTCATGATAGTGATTTATTTATTTATTCTTATCCTAAGGACTATTTTTGGAACTTCATACATTAAGACTTAATTATCTATGGACTATAAATTTCACATTCTTGATTGGTACTGTAGTTAATACACTTACATGTTTTCTGCTATCAGATTTATGTGTTTTAGTTTAGATGTTATATAACTTCAAGGTAGCTTAAACTGCTGCCTAGCTATTGTGGCCTTTTTCTTTGGATTCAGTTGTGTAATGACCTGTAGTTAGTTTGTTATAGTCAGTCTGTTATGAATTATAAGTACTGAAGTTTTTTAAGCATTCTGTGACATTTCTGGTGTGTAATTATTTTTTTTTTTTGGTGTGGCTGTCTTATCTATGTAATAGGTAAGCATAGATCATAAAAGGAGATCTTTGATGTTAATTATCCTTTATGCCACTGCCTGTCTTGCAATTTAATTTTTTTAAATTTTTTTTGATTTTGGTATGCTTAAGCTACAATTACATGAAGGACGTTATGTTTACTAGGCTCCCCCCTTCACCAAATCCCCCTCACATCCCAGTTCACAGTCACTGTCCATCAACATAGTAAGATGCTGTAAAATCACTACTTGTCACCAAGTTCACAGTCACTGTCCTTCAACATAGTAAGATGCTGTAAAATCACTACTTGTCTTCTCTGTGTTGCACAGTCCTCCCCATGCCCCCCCAACACTATACATGCTAATCGTAATGCCCCCTTTCTTTTCTTCCTGCCCTTATCCCTCCCTTCCCACCTGTCCTCCCCAGTCCC